GTAACCCATACACGCCGCAGGTAACCCATACACGCCGCAGGTAACCCATACACGCCGCAGGTAACCCATACTCGCTGCAGACGCAGCTTTTTTTTTCCATTTTAAAAATTATTAAATTATTTTTAATTCAGACTATGTTTAGTTGCCTAGAATTCATTAAAAAAAATCTTTAACAAACGCTCTGTAATACTTTATATACTTCTGCTTTCTTACTGGAGATGTCAGAATATAATAAAATATAAACAGTTGGAACTAGGATCTTAGTCAACACTTCATTTAACAATTGCAAAGTATTTTGAGTATGTTTGTATGTTAATATTAACTATACCACTGATGCAGTAAATCCTTAAATATCTTAAATGCTGTTGGACAATACTCATAGCTGGCTGCTTTTCCTATATCAGCCACTTAATAATAGTCCTGAATTCTTTTATCACCAATGACCAGACAAGAGTTATCCATTTTATAATACAATTTTACTAAAAAATAATTTAACAAACGTATAAGACTTTGTAAATAGTTGCAGAAAAGAACACAATAATCACAATCATCTTCCTTCGCTTTTCCATCCTGCGCTTCCTCCCTCCTTCCTGAGCAAAGTTCCCAACAGCAAAGTTGAAGCCACCGCTTCATTACATTCTCAGCTTCATTGTTTGTTGTGTGTTTGGTGAGGGGATTTTTTCTAACAGCAGCTGAAAAACAAAAACATTAAAATAGTTATTGCAATAATGGCAATTCATGTTAAAGTTGTGTGCTTAAACTATGATCTCACGATGCTCTGTCACCATCATGATGATCACGCACACACTGTAGTTAGTGTCTGCTATATAAGATGAAGTGATAAGGTGATATTCACTTCACCTGTCAGTGATCATCTTACACCAGATCAGTGTGTACTGTGCATATAAACACACACACACACATATATGAGTGTGCGTGTATATATATATATATGCGCGGAAACTGATCTCTCTTCTCATATTAATTTTTCACACATAAATGTCTCACGGCAAAAACAAATTATCTGGCCTTGCTGCTCCAATACTTTTGGAGGCGCTGTGTCTATAAATCACTGATCACTTACCCAGCCCAAGAGTGTTTACGTAAAAGTAATGATAAAATTACAATGCAGAAAAATTAAAGCAAAGGGAATTTAAAAGAAGCTAAAAAGATGTTTACCAGTGATCACATCTTTAAGATGAAGGGAAGCAAAGGAGGTTTTCCCATTGAGTCCTCTCCAATTGATAGTTTTCGCCAAGCTGTTACCCAGAATTCTCTTCATTATTCTCCACATAGTCTCCTTAGCGTTGTTTCCTCCAGTCAGACCTAAATGATTAATCTGAAAAGATAAAATGGCCAATATGTAGGTCAGCTGTGCAAATTCAAAGTATCACATTCACAGCTGCATGAAAATGTATTTACTGAAAAATAGAATAACTGACCAATTTTTCTCTCATGTCTGGACTGTGTAGTTGGCCTTCCAAAGCATGCAGAGCTTCCAGGTCTTTCAGTGGTAGAAGTCCCTCTTCAATGTTGTCAGTGAGGGTCTGTTGCTGAGCTTGTAACAGTTTGAGAATTAGGGACTGCTGCTCAAGGAGCATTTCCTGCTTAGTGAGGATCTCCTTCATTACAGCTGAGAGAGAGAGACAGAAAAAAGTATTATATCTAACAGTAGTATTAAAATGTGTAACCATTTACTTGAGTGCAATTTTACAACAATAACCCCTAAACATGTAATGATGGTAATAATTTAACATTATATAACAAAAGGGCATCATATAACATTCTGTGTTGTATAACCTTTAGTTGTTTTTGTTGAAAAATGCTTAGGCTATAAACAGCCACCTAGAATAGAATAAGAACACACTTATTAAAGTGCAATACTGTACAAGGAAGTGTGTCCCCAGCAATTCACCCATCCAATGTAGAACCAGTGAGTAGTTATTTGGGTGTTCAGTACTTGTTAAGGCGTGCATTTGGACTCACCCCTTCCCATCCATCATATCTCCTTGGCTCGGAGAGTCTTTTGCCCGACGTCCCTCCTTTCCAACAGGCATTCGCGTTTCTTCCCGTTCTTTGCGGTCGGGCAATTTCAGGAAGGAGTGTGACTGGAGATGGGGGAGGTCATGTCGGCTGTGGTACGGGACTGCATGGTCAGTCTGATGTGATGGTAATGTCGTTCAGCGGCATGTGATGGTGGCGGCTGGTCGGGGTGGACAGGAGTCCCGGTCCGGGTCAACCTGTTTAACACACTGAAAAGTCTGTGAGTTCCTCCCCTACCCCGACTGTCTGCCTTTTCTATCTCGCCCCTGTGCTTCTGTCTCCCAGTTTCCAAGGGCGGTCCAGTTCACATTCACCCTATTCTTTTTCTTCTTTTCTCATAATCTCTTTCTACTTGCTGAAATCTCTATTTCGAATGTTTTATCTGTCTCAAATTAAAACTACATCCGTTCTGAAAACCACATTCTTTTATCTAAATGACTGTTCACATGACTCAACTCCGTAATTGATTATCATCCAAATTTACATTAGCAGATATCTTAACATCCACCTTCGTGTCTTTGCTGCCTCCAGATCCCATTTTAGAAATTAAAACTTAGCAATGATTTCCCCGAACCGACCCCCGAGCGACTTTCTCTAGTCCCTGACCGTATTTATTTATTTTTTACCAGACACTCGATCGTCAGTGCTGGGCAGGTTTCCTCAAACCTAAGGGTCCCAGACCCATCCCAGACCTTCTTGCAAGTTCTTGTCGCCTCGGCTGATTAAATTCGGAGACCAATATACAGACGTATAAAATATATATAAAATGTCTCACCTTTGCGGTTCCCTGGATCGCAGCGGCTTTGGAACCAGTTTTCTATTTACCTGCTGGTCCCAATGCTCGTGCGATCCTGCCGGTTCCACCAGGTGGAAAGACAGCCAAAGACAGGGTATGAAGGCAGCAAAGTTTTTAATAGGTTATTTGATGCATCAAGTAAGCCGGGACACCAAGCCCGCATACAAGAGCCCAAAATTATTTTCTTTCGCAGCTCCTTTATACTTCTGCTCCATGATTATCATTCTGTGAGCAGCCAGACAGAACCAGTCAGAAACAGCCCTAAAATTAGTGGTGTGACCTTCCTCCTGATCGGCTGCTAAGCGGCCCTCGCCTTTCACACAGGTCATAGCAAATATTCTCGTAGTAAACATATGATCTTCCACTACGTCTAAATGTATAATTTCCACTACATACTGTAAAGAAGAGTCGGCCAAAATTCCTGCACAATAATGTGAGAGACCGATAAAGTCATACAGAAAACGATTACTTCGTTACTGCGGCTAAAAGTTGTTCTATATTTAATTTTTCACACTTGGCCTTTCCATTTTGGCTTCATTTTTGTTTTGTTTTTTTTTTTTAAAAAAAAAGAATGACATGGCGCAATCTGTCGTGTGTTGTTTTACACCTGAGGCTATAGAATTAGATAGTTTTAGACACTGGTAAGGACGAAAGATTTTTTTAAATAAAAAAACATATCCTGATACATAAAATCAAACAAATTTACTTTCTTTTTCACATGACTGTAACTGGTGGGAAAGGATTTCTGTTTTTTTTTTTTAATCCGTCGTAGCACGTGTACATGCGTTTAATGTGCGCAACGATTTCAAAACCTTAAAATGTACTTAAAAAAAACGCATCTACTTGCGTTTTACTTAGTAAACTTGTTTCCTAGTATCTGAAGCGATTCTTTTTTTTCTTCCAGAGGAGAAGCATAAATATTTTAATTCAGATTGCATTTATCTATTGGCTTGTTTTGCATGAGCGATGCTGCGCTTAAGTAGGCTATATATGGTGCTCACGTGCGCATCTTCACCGATTTATCTGCATTTTTCATCAGATAATAGATCAACCAACCACTCCCTCAATCCGCGGGTGAGTATTAACTGTATCTGATGGCAGTGATGACATACTTTCAGCAGCGTGTGAAAATGGTAAACGTGAATATTATACTATCCTAAATAGCGTTAATCCATTAACGCAAAATAATCTGGAGTAGTTTAGGTCTACTATCTGACGCATTTAAAATTTATTTTTGTAATGCATTGTCAGGTGCTTCAGATATGAATACAGTTGTTTACCCTGGAAACTGAATCGTGAAACTTGAATTACTCGTATTTTATTTTATTCGCTCTTAGCACCGTAACTGTTATTCTCTCCTCTGCCAGCAGGTGGCACCCCAGCCGTTCAAATCAAATAATGCCAATTGCGCACAATATATACATTACATAAATTACATGAATTACATTCATACAGTCTAACCAACCTTTGGGAAATTCTGGTGTTTGAGGATATCGTATATACCCTTTGTGATAACCCTAACACTTTCTGTTTAAATTTACTTGTTTGGTATAAAATGGCATACAAATTAGGCAGAGGATACATTTTGAGTATAGCCTCTCAGCCATAGGACGTTATATTAGGTTTGCGTCTTTTTGAGTAACTGTGACATCTCAGTGTGGCAGTTATATCTGATGAAGAGGTGACTGAGATTTCCAGGTTGGGATGGCAGCAGGTGAGCTTAACCTGCACAGTTTTATTCACTGATTTCTCACCAGGGTTTACACAGAAACCTAAAAATCAGCAAGGAAGCGCTGCTGCGTAGAGAAGAAGACAGCATCAGTTGTTTTGGGAGAGCCTCTGTCAAGTTACGCTGGCGGTTCACGGAAATGGCACTTCTTGAGCAACACGCTGGAGGCGACATTAAAATACGAAGATGTGACATTTAAGCGTCCGCTGTCATTGCAGGACAGTCACGAGGTTTGGTACAGGAGCAGGTCAGTGTGGGAATCTTCTGAAACCTGATCACTCTGCTTTAGCTTAAGAGTAATATGTGAAAATTATGTTTCATTTTCTTTGAAATTTCACAGGAGCATGTAAGGAGAAAAAACTAATATATTATTATATTATATTATATTATATTATATTATATTATATTATATTATATTATATTATTATCATTCTGACATAACCCAAACAATTTCAATATCTTGCAGCTTTCAAACCTCTGAAGTTAATACATGTAAAATGGAATTTAAGTGTATAATTTTGAACCCTTGCAGTAATTAGTGTATAATTTTGAACCCTTAAAGTAATTATATACTTCAATGTAGAATTTTTCCTCAGTTGCGTCAGTCGTTCGAGCAAAATATAACCAAAATGGCTGGTTTCTGTGAAGCAGTCTCCAGAACAGTATATCCAAGCTTTACTGCAACATTTTACAACAGCAAACCTCTCAGTGACCTCAGGGCAGGATGTGAAAACTCAACAGTGGTAACCCAAAGTCACCTTATCGTCCACACAGGGAGCTACGGCTGAGACTATCATGCTCATGGATGTCTCTCATGTGGTGCCTTGGACTATCTCTGTTCCACTGAAGCTTCCCGCTGAGGTGTAACCCCAAGAGACAGCTAAAGTGTAGGAGCATAGTGCAGTGTTTCCAGGTCCCTGCCAGACAGTCCACATTTTTGCTCCCGGGAGCTGTGAGGGAGCAAAAATGTGGGCTGTCTGTGGGTCCCGAGGACCGGAATTGGGAAACGCCGGCATGGTGTTAACCTGCCGTTCAGTGACTGTGAGGATCTCTTGCTGACAATGGTTAATAGTAAATATGACATTTTGATGTTTGGCACATGATTGTGGTTGTTAGCATAATGCCTTTGACAGTAGCAGGTTTTGATTGAGCAGTGGGGAGCACTTTTAAGCCGCCCCTCCCCGGGTTAGAGGGTCGAATCCCCGAGTGTGCGGAGTGTGTTGTGTAGGTGGACTGTGGGTGTCGTGCTACAGATCGGCGTTCCGTCCAGGGTGTCCCATACCTTGTGCTCTGTGTTTCTTCAGACTTCCTTCCAGGATAAGCAATTAGAAACTGGATGGATGGATGCTGACAGTCACAATGTCGATGATGAACATTCGTCAGGACAAGTGACAGTGCGCATGCTGGTCTTTATGCTTTATAACACTAATTTAGTGTGTTTGTTTAAGACAATGCCAGTGAGGCTTTGTACTGTGTGAGCAGCAGCAGTGTTTATTCACTCGAACCATGATTTGTGTGTGTGTGGGGGACCCTACTGGCCACAAACCGTCACTACACCAAATAAACACATTCCATATTTTGGAAATATTGAAGCAGGGTGTTCTGCTAACCACCTAGTTAGCTATGTTGTGACTATACTTGGTAACTATTTATTTAGACTTTAAAACATCTAAGGGGGGGGGGGAGGGGCTGGACAGACATTGTTTTTTTTAGAGTGGTGCCCCAGAAACAACAAAGCTCTGTGTGAGAGCCAAAGTTGAGTGTTCTGTGTTCCAAGCCCTGGATAGGTCAGCTTTTTGAGGAGCATCCAACTGGCCAGTGGAGAACCATGACTGGAGGCTACATATGTAAGCATGCACCATGCATGTGCAGACAGAATATCTGTTGTGATGCAGATCCATTTAGGCCAAATACATCCAATAAACAAAACATTTCATTATTATTTTTTAATAACGCATTTTTATTTATTATTGACATACATCAAACAGGACTTGCAATTTTAACGGATTCTAATGTTACAGTCATTATAGGAACTAATCCGGGAATAAATAGTCAATTGCGGGTCATTACACATCATTTGTGTATAGTTCTGTAAGCTAACTTATGTTATCATTAATAATATAAGTTATATATTAAAATAATTTAGACTATAAATAAGGGAAACCATAAATGAAGAATGAGTACAGTGAAGTTTTTACAAATATCTCTGCAGGTGACCTAGATTGTTCATATATGTTGCAGTTTCAATGCAGTAAGGCAGTGACAGCTTTAGGTAATACATTTAAAACACATTCTGTAGTCACCTTGCCATGCACACAGCATGTATTCCGCGTAGTGATAGCTAGCGCCGGTCAGTCGATGTGAGGACTTTGTTCCTTGCCTGTAGTAATTGTACCCCTCAGGGAAGGCAATAGACTGTATAGTTATCACCTGAGTAGGGATTGATCCCTCCCAACAAACTATACAACCTACTACCTCAACCCGCAAGGGCACTAGTGGAGTCGCACGGCATCCAGCAGCATAGCATGCAACTGCGACGCTTTTGCGAAAGGGCACTGGATACCATCACAGGCATCGCGGGTGCAAACATGGAACTTTGACACAGTGCTCACGAGCCCAGCGCTAGGTAATGTAGCGCTCAATAGCATAGCCCTCGCTAACATAGTGCCCTCTAGCATTGTACTTGCTAACATATTGCTCAGTAGAATAGCTCTCGCAGTAACGTAGTGTGCCCTAGCACAATGCTTACTAAGACATTGCGGCCTAATATAGCTCTTGCTAACGTATTGCTCAGTAGCATAGCGCTCGCTAAGATAGTGGACCCTATCATAGTGCTTGCTAACATAGTGCTCACTAATTAGTGCTCACTAGAAAAGTGCTTGTTAATATAAGCCTTACAAGCAGGGCACTTGCTAAGATGGTAGTCACTAGCATGGTGCTGACATCTCACTCATTAACACAGCCCCCATTAACACGCTGCTGTGATCCCAAAGTACATTGACTAATCCCAAAAATTACTTTCTCCGAGTGCCAGTGTTTCCTAAGCAATATGCTAAGAAGCTGTGGTTCGCTAATGTGCATGAACAGGCTGGAAATGTCGTGCCATCAGGATAAAGCTCGCGAGCGCTAGGCTACAAGGTGCCTCGAGGTGCCTTCTCGCGCTGTCCGCCGTCTCAACCGTCTCCTTAGGAAAGACAGTAGATTGCATAGTTATCACAGAGGGAGGGCTGGCACCCCACAACTATTCAATCTACTACCTCAGCCCCAAGGGTAGCATCAGCGGCAGAAACACTGGGAAGAGAAGGGGAAACTCATTAGCCGTGAGCGGACTCAACATGCAGAAACGTTGACTGCGTGCTGTGGCCTGGTAGGATGAAGTGAACCACGCACGTTTGCAGCAGCAAACAAGCGTATTTTACTGTAGAAAAGGTAAACATTTTCTGGGCTTTACTACCCACAACTTCAGGTATTCTTATGAGAATTAACCACCACCTGTAAGGCTGCTTCCCCCAGGCCGCTGCCCTCCTTAAGCACCCATGCGGAGCTCACTGGCACTAAAGGGACTTTTCACCGAATCACACACTATATGGATTTCACTTTTAGTGACTTCATAAGCTTATTAGTACAAAACCCAAAAGCTGTTTGTAACCTACATCTGGATGTCTGAACTTTGTTTATACATAACTGCATAATAAATTTATACATAA